AATGTAAATAAATTGCCTTTAGTAGCTTAAACATATACATGTATACCAAAACTATGACCACATGCAAAAAAGTCCTGACAAATAATCCAGTGCTAGTTAATTTTCCACTTGCACTACTTGATTTGATTTAACATTTGCCTGGAGGGCATGAAGCATTTTTTCCTTTTTCTGCTTGCAGATGACAAAAGGCCCATACCATGGGTCCTGGACAAGTGAGAAATGGTTTCAACTTGCCCAGAGGCAAGCTTAGAAAAGCAATTTTCTTTGCACACCACAATGACCAGCACATTGTTCATGAACTCTTATGCTATCAAGCTAAAAATATGGCCTGCCAATAAAAGACAGATACAATGTGACTTGTGCTTATTAAACGAAAATCTTGGCAAAACTGTTAGAACATGTTCCCTACTTCCTTGCTAAAAACCAGCCATCAAATTATATCCTCTAGGGTTCATCAAAACCCCTTTTCTCTATTTGTCTTATTTTTCAATATCCTTACTTTCTTTCTGATGTACTTTTTGAAGGTACAAAACAAAATTAAACGATACAACAATAGTATGCAAAAAGTGCTGATAGAAATCTTAAGAAATTGCTTTTTTTCCTGATGAAGACAAATCCATAGAAATATCAATTGAAGGTGCCAAAGTAGGGGAATTGAATGACAGAGAAGGCCATCATGTCTGTGATAAGTTCAGTGAGATTACAAAAATTAGGTTGAGGGTTAAAACAGTATCAAGAACAAAATTTTATTTAACAAAGAAAAATTCCTTAAATGTTCTTTTTTCATGAAAAAAAAATTTGCCAGAGGGAGGAATAATGAAAACAAAAAATTCAGTTGTGAGCTATGTACATAAAAATTTTGTGCATTTACATCAAAGTATACTGAAAGAAAATATTTGCTTAATAATGCAACTATTGATTTTTGAGAGCAAAGCCTCTAGAGAAAAAAATTCAAGTGTGCAACCGAAAATCTTCCAGATTTTCCTCTTTCTTTTTTTTCAGAAAGCAAATAAAATCATCACACTATTGATATTTATCAAAAAAATTTTTTTTTAATTTTATAAAATCATTTTTTTGGAAATTAAAATATGATGACAACACAATTTCTGCATCATGTCATCAAAGTCTAAAAAAATATCTGAGAAATTTAGCACTTCAAGCCGACATTCAACCTATGCCAAATAATATTATGAAAAGGAAATGGCTGTAATAGCAGTAAACAAAGATTCAGATCAGGGGAAAGGGATACGACTGAATAGTCAAAGAAATTGTCATATATGAAAAAAAAATATTTATAGACACGTATAGATCTTGTACTATCACCCCAAAGAGGGAGTGAAAAACAGCTAGGCAAAATTGCATCAATGGCAGTATACTTCAAATGCCTCTATGTTACACTTTGAAAGTACAAAATAACATCATGGAATTTCTTTTATGTTTATGACATCATGTTATATACATGTATGAGGGTTGAATATACATGTAGAATCTAAATGTGAACTATACACCCGACTAATGAAATTTTAAAACTCTGGGGTAGTTTGAGTGGCACATTGGTGATGGAGGTGGAAGTGGTATGTTGAGGAAATGGTATGTTGGGAAATGTTTGTGGAAACCAATGTTTTTCATTTGGTGTAATCCATGTGCTTAAATAATTCATGGAGGCCTTACACCTAAAGTGCAATTTTTGATCTCAACTTCAATCTAGCAAGTTATTTCCATGTGCAATACATTTTCTGGGACCATCTTCTCAAGAACATGTATCAAGGATTATTGGGCATTAAAGATTGGAGAATTCTTTGGATATATTTCAGTCCCCTGAGCCAGTTTTACTCAGATGTTGAGAATATGATTCCACAAGGCCACTCCATTTTCCTGATACTAAACTTTATGCCTCAAAAAGAAATTGTACTTCCAGATAATTGAAACAAAGCTCAAGATCTGACGAGCACAACTAAGACAAAGTTCCTTCTAATTACACCAAAGTAACTTGAGCTGCATCCTGATGTGGTGGTAAAAAGTAAACAGGGGAATTGTCATGATTGTATTCGCTGTCTTTAATTGAGTCATTTTTTTCTTATACTTTGTACCTTTCATTTTTGATACGAAATTGAGTGCAAGATCACCAGGATGCAAATCTTGCCTTGTTTTAAACTTGTTATAAAAACAATGAAGCACTTACCAAATTATCATTTTTGTCATAAAAACTTAGTCCAAAGTATCGACATTCTTCCAAGTTCAGGAATTCATAGACATTGTCATTAGAGAGATTTGCCTTTACCTTTTGGCTACAAAAAAAAAAAAAAACATTTGACAAAGGACACAATTACAAGTAAAACCAAACCATGACATATATAAGTAACCACAATGCACCTGTCTTACTGAGACTGAGAGAAACAAGGATGATGTTACACTTTTCAATGAGGCATGGTGGCAAAGTATTTCCAATCCACACTTTTTTTAAAACATAAACATGTTCATGATCTCACCTTGCTTGACACACTTCCCAAACGTTTCTGGAGTCAGCCAAAACAAGTAGACCAATAAACAGTTCTGCAATTGTGTCTTCTTTGGGTTTAGAGCAATGAGTGCAATCTTAGATAAGGACAATAATGTAGTATCTTGCTCACCCATGTCATAACGGCGAGACATTCTAACGCGATCTGCGTTTGGACGGGTTCACGAAAGCGGACCAAACCACACTTCCCCTTCGATTACAAATCAAGCCAAATCAAGGAGAAATTCAAAACTAAAACACAACAACAAAGCGTCTCTTAAACTTCCTCCACGCTTGCACCAACATGGCTTCAAAGGGCTCGGTGTAATCCTTGCTGTGATTGGTCAAAGTACAAGACAATAATACTCCTTCCAAATATGGCGTTTTAGCGCCTGGAAGTGAGCCTATTTGTGCGGGGTAATTCTTAGATATCTTGAAGAGGTCCAAAGACGCTAATAATTTCTATTTCAATCAGCTACACGCATTAGCGATGCGTATTTCCTCGATCAACCTACTGATCATTTTCTAAAGGCACATTGGATTTACTTTCGGTGATGTCATTTCAAGCCTGTAATTTTAAAATTCAATTTCAGTTTCAAGTCCAGCAATATCATTAGGAAAGCGTACTGAGTTTCATGACCTCATGGATGCAATTGATTTGCTGTGTTAGTATTTAGGAAAAGTTACACTATTTTGTATTGATCTCTTTGATCCCATTTTTCCTCACGCGGTGTTTTCTTCATCACTTGAGGCTAAATTCCACTTTTTGCTTTATAATTGTTTATTGTAACCAACTTAATGATTTCATTTCTGGAGGGTACCGACCACATAATCTATGGATCATAGGGTAGGTGGATGGTGCGTGGGATTTTTTTTTTTTCGATGCGAGTCATTCCGCAAGACCTTCAAAAATGTCTTTAATTCAAGCAGATCGATTCCTGTCAGGAATAATGGAAGAACAGAAAGGGAGGAGAGGAGAAACTGAAAAGGAAGCGAGACACTGGCGGTCTGCGGTTTTTTAAATCGTATGTATCTAAGCATGACCCAAGTAGGATCGCAATTCGTAACAATGCTGACCAACTCTTGTTCTGATCATGACTCACCGTTTGTAAGACCCATCTTGAGTCGTTTTCAGTTGATTATGTTACTCCCTTGACTCTTTAACAAACCGTTTTTTAATACTTCTATTACGAAATTCGTTTAAGATAAAGTCATATATTAGTTATATTATGTCACCAACATAATATAAAGGGGGATTATAGTAAATTGACCGCCAAAAAATTGGGGAAGGGGGGGTGGGGGGTCATAACAATAGTACGGAGCATCATGGAGAGTCAGGTACTGAATTTGTCATGGCACAACCAAAATTCTCCCAAACTCAACTCCCTCCCCCTCCCCCTCCCCTTGTCTATAAGTGAGATTTGTAAACCGTCACCTGATAGATTTATCTCAAGGCGAATGTGCCACATCTCGTTTAGGCCGCACCAAAAATGTATTTTTTCTTGGCTTCGATGTTCTGTAAAGTTTCAGCTCAATAACTTAATAAACTCTCGTCAACCACCTTCTTTTACGCAATGAATAAGAACAGCCGTGGAAAAGAAAACGAATTTTGTAGACAATGAGGCTATGTTACAGTAGTACGTAATGATGTTTAGATCACATTTTATTTTTAAGCAACTGTATACTCAGGATATACTCTACACTCGCTATTGCATACAGACGCATCAGAATTCTAACCTTCTTCCAGTATTACGCGCCTGCACAATTTTTTTTTTGTCTGTTTTGGATGAGAAAAGACTCCTCACAATTGAGTTTTTGGTCACATTTAAACATAAAGATGTGATAAACACGTGAAAAGTGGGGAGGTGGCTGTTGATTGAAAACTACTTTTCCAATCTGCAAAGCGCCTGGGTGTTGTGAAAACCGTACTGAAATTGGCCTCGGGAAAAGGAGAACGGGAACAGAAAATAGAGGACGAAGGAGAGACTAACAGGGGAGGGAGTCTGGGACTTAAAGTACAGCGGTAATCCGTACAACGATTCAAAATGGCGGATGACAACAATTTACGATTGCATCTTAAAGATATGTCATTACCTTCCGTGAAGCTAACAGCCAAGTCGGAAGCTTTTTTCTTTTAAGAAACCTACTATTACGCTATGAATTGCGGCTTGTAATATCAAAACGAGATTAATTTCACACGAAAACAACGTGGAATGAAACGTTTGGAAAGAAACTTTATTGTTGAAAGAATGACTTACAGAGCTTGTGATTTAGTGGTGAGTAAATGCACTTTCTAGTCACTTCCAGAATGAATTGCCGAATTGTCGTTGAGCTCACCACGCCAAAAGCAGGATTTTTTTGTCGTTTTTAAGCCAGCAGGTTTCTTCTTCTACTGATTCAGTCTCTCGTCTTGTTTACCGATTTATTCCGCTTTATTTTTATTTATTATTTTCCCTTTTTTTTGACAGCAACTGCAACTGACTGCATTTAATAGCATGCTATGATGCTTTACATAGGAGATGTTTGGCCATTTTCAATTATTCGTGTGGTGCTGTTAGTATTTGCATTATTCGATCAAGTTTCTGAAGCCAGTGAGTATATAAATGAAGGTAAGTTCTCCAAAAGGCCGAGTGGCCCATCTACCATGTCTACCCGAGACTTACTGGGTTTCTGTAACATAAAGCCACTCCCTCTCCCCTGCATTTCGTCTACCCTGCTGGCAAGTGCAATTGTGTGGTGTAGCAGCTGGAGAACTTCCTCTCAGGCTGGAGAGAGGCTATATGGGAATAAAATGAAGCCTGAGTAAGAGTAAAAGCCTGAGTAAGAGTAAAAGCCTGAGTGAGAGTAAAATGCTGTGCTCAAGAACACAGCACAAAGATCCAGGCCAGGGGCCCATTCTCAAAAGTTCTGGTCACGAACTGAGCCCAAAATCATATTTTGAAATAGAAATCTAAAGTTAAGAGAAGCAGGTTTAGGCACCCTAACCAGTCCATTCTCTTTCTTCAACTGATGGTTTTATTGTACAATTCTTTAAAAACTTTTACAACCCTTATACAACAAGCTTAACAGGCCCGTTAGATTACTGGAACCTTTGAGAAACGGATCCCTGGTCTTGAACAAGGACATTTGGGCCAGGAGTCAGCATACTAACTATGAGGCCATCGTGTCTCCCAACAGGAAGAATAAAAGCACTATTAAAATGAAAAAAGAAAGAATGGAATAACATCTTGGAATCTCCTTACTGAGATCTTTTCAAAAACGTTGAAATATTCCCGCCCATATCACTGCATCCCCTCAACTGAAACTATATTTCTGTCTTGTTTTGCTTGTTTTATGTTAAGAAACTCATCAAGAGGCTCCTCATAGCAGGCAATGTAAAGCCTGGTCACCCTGGTCGTTATCATTTTTCACAGGGAACAGTCATCCAGAGGGTCTTCCGGGTATCAGTTGGGGACAAGAAATTTGTCAGTTACTTCCCGAGGATCCCCCAGGGACTCATCCTTACTTTATTTCACTGTTTGACCCAAAAAGAAATATCCCCTTTTATTCTGCATACAAAGTGACTGCACAGCAGGCACCCTTCATTGGAAAATAAAGCCGAAGAGATGTAAGAAGAAGAAAATGGAGGAATCCTCCAGTTATTGCTCTTGTGATATTTGCAAGTCTTTGATTTTTTCACTCAGGGCTGGTTTTCACCTGCAGCGGAATCATACCTGGAGTCATAGTCAGAGCGCTTCCATCCAAGTGAAAATCAAAACTTGAAGTTACAAGCGTGAAGGAATCCGAGTCTGCGGGAAAAATCAGAACAGGTCTATTTTCTTCCAACTCCACTTTAACTGTGACGCATGTTATCCAATGAAAACTAAATTATCAGGGTCACAGCCAGAAGCAGAAGAACCAACTGATCACAAAACCTGTTTACTAGCCACCCGCTGACCCACGACACCAACAATCCAGTGTCCCCAGAGCACCGGTAATGGAGCTGAAAATTGTTCTTTATTTATCTTTTTTTTTTGTTTTTTTTTTGGTAAATTCTCCACAAACAAGTAGCAAAATACTTAGAATACCTCTTTATTCCAGGTGTCCCTGGTTTGAACAGTGCCTAAAAAAGAGTGATACAACAAGAACCTGTCAGCGGGGGGCACATGAATCCTGTTGCCATAAATACATTCAATATCAATTTCATGAAAGCTACATTCACCCTCACTAATACAATCCTACAATACGTTGCATCTAACAGAGAACTTTGGCAGATTTTTGAGACTAAAATACGCTGCCGGCTACACAGCAGATATGTGTGGAAGTCGAGCCTGCCATGGGACTTTGTTCTTACTAACTGGACCCTTGGAATTTAGCCCTGGAAATTATCTTGAAGAAAATGGAGAATTATTTCATTCAAAAGTGGTCCTTAATGGCATAAATCTTGCTATACCCTGAGCTGTCTGGAGAGCAGGTTGTCGTGTATAGAAGGAGTCCAACAATACAAGAGTCCAAAGAGCACAATATTTTGTAGTCATGAATAACAATATGAAGGATGGAAAATGGCTCAACCAGACTGAAATGCCATAAAACCAAAACCAACGAAATCTTAGCAGCCAATCAGAACAAAGGCAGATATCACAATGAACTGATGAGAGCTCATAGTTAAAAAACTAGCAAACTGACTAAGGCCTGGGAAAAAGGGATGGACCAAGTTACATTTGGGTTTGGTTCTGCATATCTTCTTTAACAACATGCTTGAGATTTTATCAATCGTCTCAGCAAGATAATGCTTTTTTCTTCCAATATTTTTATTATGCAAAAGTGGAACCGGATAAATTTTCTCTTTCTTGTTCCCAAATATGAATTAGTTTCTCACTTGCTGTCAACATCGGCTCGGGTTCGTCATCCAGCCAGGAGCTAACAGGCCTATGAAAAGTAGCCTTGTAATGAGGGTCAATTAATTATATAAAACAAACTATCAAAAACTAGTCTATAACAGGCAATTTTCTCATCCAATATGGGCACAGCATGGTTCCTCAGAGCACCTAAGGGAGTTTGCCAGGACTGCCAATAAAGACATTTCTTCAGGGATTTAACATTCCAAGAAGTAATAGGAGCTTTCAAAACTTGACTCCAGGGGCATTATAACATTTTATAAGGGAAGTAGCTATTTTTGAAGCAATGCGTTAACCTTGATATGCAAGTAAATGGTAATGCATGGCTTACAAACAGTAGCTGCCCTGGTTATGAAGGGTGGCTTTTTTCCAGCTCCTTTTTTGTTCAAAGAGATTGTCAAGAAATGGAAGAAAGGTCAGTGGGACTATTTTGGGTCACAATTAAGTGGCAGGGTTGCTGAGCTAAATCCAAAATGGCGGCATCAAATTTTCAGCATATATCAAGATCATTTTCAAAGGGTTAGGTTACTCATAATGATAATTCATTAAAGTTCATTTTCTCACTATTGGGTCTTAATTTCTCAGATTTTATGGTGACTGTGAATAGAAGCGAAAAGTTATTTTTGAGCTAATATTGACTACCAAAGGAGGAAGAGTGAAGTTCATCCATGCAATCCATGTAAATCTTCAACATCCCTAAGCACTCTTCCTTTGCTTAAGTTCTTGTTGTCCTTTTGCTGATTTTCAATTCTAATCTTACAGAGGGGAGGAATTGGCCTAGGGATCAGCGGTAATTTTGCCCAGGTTTTGGATGCGGATCGAAATTTTAGTGCATCTGCATATTCTGCAATTGCAGCAATTTGCAGTTTTCATTGATTTGATGGGCCCGGATTTTGGATCCTGCATGTGAAAGCTTGAATCATGGATCTCAGTGATTGTCAGAAATGTTTTATTTTGTTTGTTCTGTGTGGGTGTGTGAGTGCTAAGTTACCTGAAGTTGCTCAAAGTTGCCTGAAGTCACCTGATTCTACCCAAGTTGCCTTAACTCACTTAAAGTTATCTATAATGTTTTTGTGCATCTACTCAGTATGTAATAGATCACAGGCAATGTCAAAATATGATAAGAACAAAAAAGTGGCAGATGATGCGGAGCTGACTATGTCATTGACCTTCTTACCACATTTTGATATCCTCTGTGATCTACTACTTTGCGCACCCACAGCAATTTGGAATTTCTTTCTTTTATACAATGAAGGACCAAAGAATTGTCAATGATGACATCATCTATGCATCTGTCTCCCACTAGATCTTAAGACAAGCAATCAAACTGTTAAATCTGCTTGCTTGAATGTTATTATATTTTCATGAACACTCCTATAGGGTCAAAAAATATCTTGTGTGACAGAACTTGGAATTAATGTTTCCTTTACTTGTTTCCTTTAATTGTGTACAGGAAAGGGAGAAATCAAGATCACTTTGCAGACATGTGCATGCATGTGTGCTTCCAAGATCAAAGTACAATCACCTGAATGTTAAATAATGATAGTAATTAATTTGATAATATATAGTGCTAAAAGCTGTAAATATTTACATTACATTCAGGACAACAAACTGCAACTGAAACCTTTGCTATAAATTTTAAATGTTTTGATCAACTTGTTTCTCAAAAGTAGCAACACTGTGCAAGTTCTGATTGATTAAGGGACAACAAGTTCCATAAGGCAGTTGCAGCTTGAGTGAAGGCGCACTCATTTGACCCTTGGAACGAATAGAAGAGGTTGTGTTGGAGGCAGGTTTCAGTGAAAACAGATATTTAATGAAGGGTGGACTTAGATTGTTGAATGACATGACAGCAAATTAAGGCAATTTAAACAACTCTGAATCATACTGGAAGCCAGTATAGGTTGACAAGAGATGGTTTGATATGGTCAAATTTGTTAATCTGGAAAATAACTAGCATGGCATTCGGAACTTTATGTGAAGGATTAAGTTGATATTGAGGAAGACTGAAAAGGAGTGCATTACAGTAATCAAGATGCAAAGATACAAAAGCATGGACCAGTTTTTGTTACTTGCATGGAATGGAATTTTCAGATCTGTCTGATGCTGTATAGAGTTTGTAAGAGCCATGCTATAGATCTAAAGGATAATTGACCATCCATGCACTTATAAACATCAAACCAGGACCCAGAGTTCTGGATGCTTTCCCTGAGTGGTTTTCTAGAAAGCATCACCAGCAACAATTGAGCCTAGAGGAAGGTTTAACCCTGAAACTCCCAGGAGTGACTAACATGGAACTTCTCCTTATCATATCCATACATTATACAACAAAAAAGTGATGAGAATCCTCAAACTTATCAGGTTGAAGTTTTTGTCTTGATCTAACACCAAATTCTCTAAACTAATTCACAAAGAAATGTGCAGCAGCTAGAGGAGATAATTAACAATCAGGTCTTGGGAGTTAAAGGGGTAACAGTGATGAAGCAGTCAAATATCAACCCTTATATAGGGTATGATATTCTTGAGGCAACAGTAATTATGTCTTACAAGATCAAGTTCCTAAGAATTTTTTTTAGGAATTATTTCAGTCCTGACCACGAGTTGGTAGATGCAAATGAGTTTAGAGTTGCATCCAATTTGTTGATAATGCCTCTTGAATGCAAGACAAGTACTTCAACCTCTCTCCTTTCTCTCTTGTAGATGCAGAAGTGTACAACTTTGATGCTTCACATCAATAAAGACCATTCATCACAATTTAGTCTCAGTCAGTCCAAGAAAATTAAGGTAAATAGGGTTGATCATTCTCCAAGATTCTGACTCTGATTTAGTTTACTTTGTTCAGGTTAGTACAATAATGAATAAGCACCAAATTTTTGTTGGTGGAAATGTTCTGCTGTCTTGAACTTAAACCAAATAAAATTTTGTCAATTTGTTTGTCGTATTTTAAGAAAAGAATGTTCATGAAGTCAATTGGTTGGTTCAGGTGATTAATTGTCACTTAGTGTGGCAATGAGTGGGCTTCCTGGATAAGCTTGGCATGTGATGCCTGAATGAATATTCTTTCTAATAGTTAACCTGTGTTTGTTAACAGTCAAGTAAGTTCCCTTGGGCAGTAAAGAATGAATTTTACTTCTATTTTGAATGGCCTAAAATTTGCCCTTGGGCCCATGCGATATGACATTTTCAAATCACATTCAATAACATAACTGCCTGATCATATACATGTATTGGTTGACCTAAATTGAATTTCATTTGTAATTGTGCTGTATTCATACTTAAGTTTCAGAGTGCATATTACTTCTGGATTAGGTGGTAGCTCTGCTGATTTTTAATCGCATATAAGGATGAGATCTTTGGAGTAACACTGGAAATTTAAAGGGCCAGTTATCAGAGAGTGAGTATTAACTTGCTATTTGTCATGTGGAATGGTCACATAACAGGAAAGATAGTTGTCCCCAAAATCCATCTTCATATATTTAAAGTGAAGCTGCAAATGTTTTCTGACTATTTTTATTTGAATACTTCGCATATACTTTGAATGTATTAAAGGTACTAATTTACGTCACATATTGCACTTACATCAAATGACTTGATGTAAAACTGATGCAAAACACGAATGGCAGTTTTTCCACTTTGAAAAACATTTGAATGATACATATTTTCTTTATAATATTTTCCTCATTCCAGACTCCTTGCACCTATCATAAATCTGACCAAAGCAGCCTTATAATCTTTCCACCACATAGTTCCTTGCCCTTGAGGATTCAGGATGTTATTGCAGTTAAGGGTTCTTAAACTGTTCTCTTGGTATTCAAAATCAGCTTAAGGATGACAAACTCTGGCCAACAATAATGTTCTACAAAGCTACAATGAAGTTCATAAATTAATTAACCACAGACCAGAACAAAATGCAATTGAATATTGAAATACAACTCAAACTGAACTAAGGCGTTGGACATTAGAAATCAAGAAGCTGCCAATGGGTAATTATTAAGAACAGCTCCCTGAAAAACACACAGGAAAATAACCAACAGGTCACTGATAAGCCACAGAAAGGTTACAAATTGGCAATATAACCGTGAATTAACATCTAAAACAAAACTTTGACTGAACTGATCAAACATGTCTTCGTCCTCCCTCTTTATTTGTCTGCTCTAAAAATAAATTTATCAGTTCGTCATGTGCAAACTGCATTTAGTGAACTCATGGGGTCTTCATAACTTTCCAATATGGCAGATTGCAACTCCAGTATTTTCGCAACTCTTGTAAGTACTGGCGCTAGATGGGGCCTAAACTCTCTATTCGATGTAGCTTCTACATCCCCTGAAGTTTGGATGATAAATGCGGTAATACAATAATATTGTTACCGACAACTTACTGACAGATCAGTAACAGACTACTGACTGTCATCTGGCAACTGTGCTTTAAACTTTTGGCTGACAGTCTGCTGATAGGCGGCCAACAGTTGGTATAAAGTAGGTCAACCAACTGTCAGCAGACTGTTGGCCAAGAGTCAGTTGACTGTCAGTCAACAGTTTAAGCACACCTGTCGCCCGACAGTCAGCTGAGAGTAATGTTATTACTGACAATTTACAGACAGATAACCAACAGATCAACGGTGGCTATCAGGTGTGCTTACAACTGTTAGAAAGCTGTCCTTTCAGGGAGTCGTTCTTCACAATTTCCTACTAATGAGTGGTCACTGAACTGTGGTTGTCCTATGGAACTATTAGTTCCAAAAGTATCATACCCAAAGTTTCACACTAACTAAGAAATTTAGGCAAATCGTCGCAAAATATTTACACTGATTTTCAATTTAAGCTTACTGATACAGCTGCATCTTGTCAATTGCCAGCTTAACACTCTAAACTCTTAATACTTCAGCTTTGAAATCTTCTTCAGTTTCAAATTGCACTGTTATCTCGTAAGATTTAGCTGGTAATAGCAAATTTAAAGTGAAGTAATCTGGGGCTCTTTTTCATTCCAAGAACACCTATCTTCATTCAAACCTTTACCTGTTAAATTCATGGCAACTGTGCCTCTGACAGCTTCACTTTGCTTGTTCTGCATTCCTCCAACAACAAGGTCTCTTCCTGTTTGCCGGTTGGCTGGTTTGTTGTTGCTTGAGTTCTCAGTCTTCTCAGCACTATCTGTTGAGATGATGGAAATGCTGGTAACAATGTCATTACTTTGTATCTTTGGTTCTTAATTTTTAGCGTCATGAAATGTGTTTGAGTCAGTTATAGGGCTGTTTGAATTTACCTTCTGTCTCTGTTATGTTTATCTCAGCCTTGTGTTCATCCGCATTATATCCCAGGTTTTTAATTGGTATATTGAGACCATTCTTCACTGTCTGTTGGTTGGCTGGTCCATCTGTGCTCTTAGTCTCCTTCTGAAGGTCTTTAGTTGAGATACTGGAAACGATGGTTACAATGTCGTTGCTTCGTGTACTTGGGTCTTCTGCACTACACGGAAGACCTACTCCTTTTCCTGGATTATGAGTAGTGTTTAGGTTAGCCTGTTTTATCTTGTTCTCTGCTTCTTTTGCACTCATCTCAACCTCGTCTCTGTCTTCTTCGATCCCCAAATTTTGAATTCCCATCTCAACAGCAACGTTTTCTTTCTTTTGGCTGGCTGGTTTATCATCCTGAAAGTCACTGAGGGAATTTTCTGATGCTTTTCCTTCTTCATTTTTACCAGAAGTGCCCCTCACCGAGGGAGTTGTGATAACAGCAGGTCTCCAGCAGAGGAAGGACATGTAAACTGGCAGGATACACAAGCCGTGAAAAAGGCCAAGCACAACGATGCCAAAAAACATCCGAAAGAATATGCGGAAAATCTCTGAGGCAGCAAAAGCAAGCACAACCATGCCAAGGAAGGTACTGAATCCTTCATCAGACAAAAAGAGAACTTTAGAGGAGTTCATGACATATACAGTGCTGATAAATTTAGAAGGCTTTCAAATCATGCACACATAGTATCTGGAAAAATGCTCTAACTGTAAATCCTATTCTTAAGAAATCTAACTTGAAAAAAAGAGCCAACATTGATGGCTATATTTATAGAATCTTAATCTAGCTACACTACAAGGATCATGAGTACTTAAGGCATCTGTTGGCCAAGTATCGACCAGTATTGCTGGCTGACATGCCGACTGTGAGTCAGTCGATACTCCACAGACATGTTGACCGACAGTCAGCCAACTATGGGTTGCCATGCTAGATACCAGCTAGATTGTTGGTCACCACTATCAGTTTCTACTTGGTCTATATGTTGGTTGACACTCGTCTGACACCTCGACCAGTACATTGCGATCAACAGTCAGCAGCATATTAGTCGAGGGTCAGTGGCATATGGGTAGACTGTGGGTGGTATATGTGTATTGTTAACCATTGTTTTGCTGGAATGGTAGCTGTCCTAGCTTCTTTTCCTAAGCCATATATTACGCAAACAAAGACTTTGGCCGGAGAAAATAAGTTAACATTGGAGTAGAGTAGATAGAACTCACTAACAAGAGCAAATCAAGCGAAAATCGTCTGGGCTGAGTGTGTGGGTAAAGTATCAGCAGCATGTCTACCAAATATCGTTTGACATGTGTGTTGGTTGAGAGGCCACCGATTTCGGTCAACATCGGCCGCTACTCCGTCAGCATGTGGGTTGCCTATGAGCCATTATAACAACCAACACTTAGTCAACATGTCAACCGATGGTATCTACCAATACTCGACTAACAGATGCTTCAAGTACACATGATTCCACTGCAGAAATATCAAAGCTGTGTGTCTTGTGAAGCACATGTCAATCAGCTCTTTGGAATAAAATGCTGACAGAAGAAATTTTTGTGGTGGTGGGAAAGGCTTCTTATTTTTGAAAACATAACATTTGAAGTTAATAATTGAGCTCCTAACCTACCTCCCATAAAAACACTTGCACCCAGTGTAGTCAGAGCATCCACTACTCGTTCATTGGCAGTTGCCTTCTTAGATGTTATGTAAGCATGGGCGATGTGTGCACTGTAATCAACTGCGAAGCCAATAGCCATAACAAGGTTAATCATGGACACAGAGTTCAGAGCCACATCCCAGATTACCATTAAACCGAACAACTCGCAAACCAGGGCTATAAAGTTTAACACCACCAGGAGCGTCACCGTACAGTCTGCTAAGAAGGGGCTTGTGACAATAAACACTGCTAAGGCTGATATAATCAGGTTTCGTATGGTCTCCTTTGTCACAATAGCGTACATTTCAAAAAATATGAAATATCGAACTATTGGAAAGGCTTCCAGGTTTGTTTTCTTTTCAATGTCTTCACGGAGTGTGAGCATTGCATTCTTATGGAAAGTGGAGCTGCTGGAACTCTTCATAAAACCAATGACACGAGAAGCTTCTATTTTTTTTCCATCCTCCGAAAGCCTCAGGTCCTGCTTGTAATAAGAAAAGGTGGGAATCTGGAGGAATTGTTTTAGTTCGCGTAGAAATCCCGAGCCAGTAATGTTTTTCTTAGACATCTTGGCATACTGAGAAAATGTATCCATCCAGGATAATGATCGGTTCTGGTAATATTCATTCTCAGTCAAGATGTTTGTCAGCTGTTTGATGCTTTTCTGGGTTGAGTCTAGCTTGTAATCAACCTTACCAGTCTCTACAAGATTCACTTCCATTCCACCTTGAAAGTACTTGTTTTGAGCTGTCAAGAATTGCTTCAAGTAAGAATCATCTTTGGCCAGTATGCGCCTATCAAAAGACTCCTCCACTTGGGTGACCCCATATATTCCAGCAGCAAGCAATGTCAGTGACAATAGTATGACCACAACTTTTGTGACTGGAAGCATCAACAGTGTGGCCCAATATTTCATAACTCGATTTGAAGTCTGTGGAAGAGGTTCATCCCAGGCTGGCATACCCTCTTTTGGTCGAGGCGCCAGGAGAAGTGGGATACAGTCTCTACGTCCGGATTTAATTCGTCTCACGTCATATGTCATAATAGCAACAAAGAATGTGACAACCATCAAGAAGGAAAATGTCACTGTCAGAGCAGCGTAGGTGCAGAAATACCTATGAAAGAATTTATTTTTGTATAAATTTAAATGTAGAGGAAAATTTGAAAAAAACATTTCACTGTTCACATCATTTCACCTTGCTACATAAAAAAGTATTGAGATGTCAATAGCAAGTCAAATGATCCTAAATCCTATCGGATTTGGAAAATTTTTCCAAGCAATTGGTTACTAAGCCTCTACCCAAAACTGAATCTGTGTTCATGGGTGTTTAGAGGGAAAGATTTTGTTGTATGTAACTGTAAACTAAGTTTTTCAGGTCAGTTAGATCCTCTTCTTTCTTTCAACAATATTAATATTTGTTCAACCCTCTACCCCAAAGTGACTAGCATCTAATATTTCCCTTTATTACCACCCTTGAAACACACATTAAGGTTAGGAAAATAATGGAAATGATCACCAACCAAAGAAGGATCTTGATTGTTAAAAGAATTATCCTTGTAAGTTTTGAGATGCTTTTCAAAGTTTGAGATGCTTTTTCCTTACGTATATAGTAATCTGGTGATTACTGAGCTCTCCTTTTGGAGTGAAATCTTACACCAGCCTCTATTCCAATGAAAAGCGAAAGTGAGTTCACTTGTGATTTAGTCACTCACTTTTGATTTCACTTTGAATTCTGTTTTTCTCCCTATGACTCTTTCATCTGTTCTGATTAACTGTTGTGATAACTATGAGTTTGGTTTAACAACTCTTTCATTTAAATGCACCCAAAAGAAGAACTCAAACCTTTCCTCATTTAAGCAAGGACCGGGCTGTCTCTGCCAGAGTGAAGCGGATTAAGTTTTTTAGACTTGAAAATCGAAGACCATTTGTTGGCAAAGTTAAATGGTATGTGTTTACATTTCCTGATGCTTATAAGAAAACTTTAAGCTCTCGAAAGCTGTTTATAATCATTAAATAAGTACCTTACCTGATCGCTGGAAATGATGAGGATGTACTAACTGCAAATGCTACCAAGTCTGTCATAGTTGTCATTGTGACAGTTGCTCCTGAATGTTTCATAACTGCTTTGATTTTCTCAGTTGTCGACAGCTTACTTGGTTGTCGATCAAGCTCGTCTACTATGATAAACATATCATCTATGCCGATTCCAAGAACCAGGAAAGGCACTATTCCCACCATACTGATGAAGGGAACTCGGAACCACATACCAAGGCCAAGTCCGGCTGAAATGCCAAGGGCCACTGCAAACACTCCTGCGTTGGCAAGTAGGGAATGGCCAGTCAGCGGATTCAAGAACTTTCCTAGCATGATGCAAGCAAAAGAAATCATGAGGCTAAACGTGACTGACACTAGACTGATATCAGACCCAGTGCTTTCACCTATGGCATCATCCATGCTCCTTTCACTTGAATAATAGACTTTGAAGCATGACAGTTTGTCTACCAATGAGGCCAGTCTATCTACGAAAGCCTTTTCCCATTGGAGAACCTTTTCATTTGCATCGTTATCCTTGGGATTACGGAGGAGATAAATCATTTGCAATGCTTTGGCGCCTGTTATGCTTCCTTGTTTTCGAGTCGAATCTCCAAACATTCGGTTGAAGTTTAACCAGAATGGGCGTCCATTCCGCATAAGTGAACTTGTGTTATTGTAAGCCTTGTTCAGTTCCTGTTGAACCAGTTCAATATTATTGCCGCTCACTTTACTTTCATTGAACTGTAGAAATTCCAGTGGATTGATCATCATACAATCGTTTAGGGATTTGGATTTGTTCCCAGACAGTGTGACGCAGAACTGGGAATAAGATTCAATTCCCATAACTGCATTATGAGCTTGAAAGGCCTGTCTCAGACATTTAGGAGAAAGAACATTAGGATGACCAGGTGATGCCGCCAAAAGGATGATTTCCTCTCGAAAATCGACTCGAAAGTATTTCTCAGCACTTTGCAAGTCGTCTATGGCTCTACTGCTTTGAGGGATGAACAATTTCACTGCTCTCTTTTCTGAATGGAACCACAAAAAACCCACAGAACAGATACCGATGAATATGACGCATATTTGGATTGTTCTCGCAGGATGTCTGGCTATCCTGACACTGTACCAACCAAAGAAGCGTTTCAAAAGGCGCAAATACAAATTGCACAGGGATGACCAGAGCAGACATGGAATGAGTTGGTAACCTTTGGAGCGTCTAAAAATAAAATGTAGATGAAAAGAGACTTTTAAAATGGATTATGAATATATTAAAAAGGAAATTGCTAAATAGTATTGTGGAAGTAACTCAGGAAAAGTGAGGTCATGACTTCCATCGCAAATAAACAAACAAATTTATAAAGATAAGAAAATGTACAGTAAGTGAGGTTCTATGGTGACACTAATCTATTTAGGGTTAGGAGTGTTATTAGTGTTATACTTTCAGTTAATATAAATAGTATCCATTCTCTATCTTCTGTGTCATTTCGTGAGTCTAGAAAAGCTGATAAACCAGTGGCCGGAAAAGTATGGAAAAGGCTGGATACACCATTACAGAAACAACTGACTAAATAACTACAAAATCTGCAAAGAGTGCTTCAAACACATAACAGCTACACTGGCAACGCCAAGAACGGAAGTTACGATCACTGCTTCAATAAAACTACCATAATACTGACTACACCAAACATGACAGCTACTCCGGCTACACCGACTTCAACAAATGCTGTGCATGGTATAGCCTAAGATGCTGCTGTAGGTGATGTACCCAGTGTAACCGTTGTACTTGGTATCATGATTGAAGCTTTTGTACTTGATTTAGACAGTGTAACGGTTGCACTTTGTAACGTTAGAATGACAATTAAAGCTGGCGTGCCTACATGCATTTAGTGATAATGTTTTAATTCATGTGGTCATGCTGTTATAGAAAGATTGTTCAGTAAAGCTGTTTTTGATGTAATCAGTATATCTCCTACAGTTGGTGTACTCAGTATCCCTGCTGTTCATGGTGTAGTCAATATAGTTATTGTAGTGGGTTTGGTGTCTCTCCTCAGGAATGCTAGTGGTAAGGTTACTGGCCTCTATCCTTACTTTTAAAGGATGAAGTTATGAAGATATTATTCTAAATTTAAGTACCGATGACTTTTAGAAGACTTTAAGGTGGAATTAGGATTTTTTAACAGCATGAAGTCACACGGAACATTTCAGTTGTTTATAGTCATGGTTATTTCGAAGGGAGGCAAGTTTATAGTTCAATAATTCTTGGATAAGTAATATCATGTTTACTAGAATAGATAAGTATTGCGGAGCAAATGTCGTTTTCTGAGCACTGCTTTTTTGGTGAATTTTGAAATATCTGTGTGTTGACTGAAAAAAAGATGTAATATTTTATTTAGCATCACTCACACATTAAGTCATCAGACAAGGAACACAACGCGAAAAGATCCTTTTATAGACTCAGCGTGGGATTTTTACTTCAAGTTCTCTTCCTTTTCATTGAATTATTTCCTTTTCATTGAATTATTTATTGAATGCCCTGACGATGTCAATTTTTCCGTTTGGTTTTTTTTTTATATTGAATAAAAATGAGACACCGATAAAACTTATTACTTGATAATTTCAAAGATGGGCGCGCTGCTTTAGACTTTGATTAAGACAAAACGGACAAAAGAAGACCAACATATGGCTATCGACAAACATTCGTAGAAAGGAACTTTGTGATCACTCTTAGTGCACTTAAAGCATAATAAATATCGATGGACGGCATCGCAAGCGACCTTCATAGACGAGGAAATTGAGAATCATTCTCTTGTGGTTTCAGTGTTTGTTGCGATAATATTTCTTTATTGCTTGGAATCAGCCCGGATCGTGAACTGGATCTTTGGACCAATAAGGTCGGCACACTATGCAATAAGTCTAAACTTGAACCTTCTTACAATTTGTATCCTTGACTAACAACCCATTCACTCCGCCAAAACTTGGTCAGTAAAAATGGGTTTAACTTAATGATAATCAGGAACAGAGAACTGAAAAACTGAATTTTCCATGGGACTCGAGTAATCGCTAACTTTTATTTTTAATGTGACACGTTTGAACTCGACATACATTGGTTTAAGCAGCCACTACGGGAAAAAATTATTATATGTGGTTAGCAAAACAGTTTTAAAAGATGTTTAAGCTTTGGCGTGAATGGGGTATAGAACTCTGCTTATATAAAGACTTTCTGTTTTGTGTAGTAGCGTGCCTTTCTTTACTCTTGAGGGTTTCCTGATTACTTAAGGCTGAGGCCAACGCCAGGGACGGCTATGATGTCGCACATACGAATATGTCATTAAAATATATGTAAGTTATCCCTCGAAAATATTTCGTCAGACAAATTCTGTGGCAGAGACGAATATTTTCACTTTGAGTCTTCATGTCAAGCAAAAGTGAGGCACCATTAAGTTGTCTCGGTCCTATGGCCACTCAAGTATATATACGAAGTGTGAATCACGGGTACATTTTGGGTTTCAAAGCACAAAATTGAAGTACTTGATATTAAAAAGATATTACAAATAATTTTAGGGTAACTGAAACAACCCACAAAAAAGGTAAAATCAATTAAAAGTGTCCATACCTTTGGAAATAAACGAGATCCTTTTCCGCATTTGGTATCTCATTACATTTGCCGACGTAATTTTCCTCGCTTCTTGTAGTCATAACGCACTTCTTGTATTCGCAGCTATTTCTAAAAAACCTTTTGTTTTACGAGTTTACCAGATGATATTTCTTCGAAAAAGAACTTCTCTCTTACTCTAACGTCATTCCAAAATTTCTTCTTGTGCGCACTGAAATCTGACGAAACTACAAAACAGGATTTCCAAGTCAAATTGAAAGCATCATACGCACCAACGACGCCATTTGTCAATATAAGCGCATCTTAATGAATCTTCTCAATTCGACTATGTCATGACTTGATATGATTGGCCGATTTGAAGAGGCAGATGTTTCTTGTATATAACATGACAATAGATGGCGCCCATCTGATCACCTTATCAGATGAAAGGAGAAACTGAAAGCTTCTGGGCGGCGAGCACACTGATGAAAGGAAGTCGTTAATAGACAAGTGTTCTAAGACAAAATGTTCTAAGGCGGATGGCACTCGGTCTGCTGGTAGTTTACAGAAACTTATTTCTTTGTTTCAGTTTTTATGGTGCGCAATCTTAAAGGTGGGTAATATGTAATGGGCTTGCTTAAGTCAAGGAAAATTAGACTTGGTGCGTTGATGATGCATTAACTCTTTCACAAGTTAGTTCGTCGGTCCCTAAGGTCACAGCAAAATTTACATCAGGCAATTGAAACCCCGGTCCCACGACCCACAGGGACATAGTTGGAGTTATTGAGAGAATGCCGATACCGCAATTTAACTTTATTTAACGATATATTGGTCCTGGAGGCGAGGACAGAAGCGGAAATTTTTGTAATGTGGGATAAAAGAAAAGCCTCGTTCCCAAGATAACATTTTGTTCAGATAGCCCTGTGGTATTGACCTGACGATGCTTGGAAAATGAAACCTCTTTGTCTCTGTTTTACCTGGATTTCAAACAAGCGTTAAAAACGACCAAACAGCGGCGGAACCACTGCAACTAGCACCTTAGCACTTGTAACCCGCAACCACACGCACAAATATGTAATTAGCACAAGGCTTTGTTAGGAAAATATGCGATTTCTTTCCGAAAAAAAAGGGTCAGGAAATTTTGATCAGTACTCGATATAAATGTGTTGGTTACTTTTAGTTTTATCCCGCTTATAACAATCTATATTTCTATGTCAATTCCTGATAAATATTTTATTTCCGAAGTGGTAAGGTCTATGACTCGCACTATAACATTTCCTAGTCAGAGATTTAACTCATTTCCCTCTCAGTTCCCTGTTTATTAGCTATAGTTGGTGATAGTACCTGTGTGAGGCATTCCTAACTGAAAAACCTCAAGGTGTCTTTTTGTTAAGAGACCAAGAATGTAAAGATTAACACGTTTGCTCGGCAATCCCTTTGGCCAACAATCGCCATAAGCATATCTACAGCGACTGGTGGGAACGCTATGTACAATATGAACATCATTTACTATAGTATTTTTGATTCATCTACAGTTGACGACTGGTTCATCTTAATCGTGCTTATTGCGACTTTCAAGGTTTCTATTCCGCGAAAAATCCTTACCATTCTCGCATCTATTTAGTCTGCAGCCTTTTAATTATATATTTGTTAACATTGCGTTGAAGCCTTAGGCTAAATTTCCAATCAACTTCCTATACTAGATAGCGAAAGTAGATCGATGACTGCGACAGCCAAATAAATAGATTTCTCGATATTTCAGCTTAAGCTCATAGCTTATAGGTAATAAGGAGTTTAAGTCGGAAGCTCTACTTTTGCAAGGACGCGAGAAAGTTCCGCTTCTGCACTCGGGAGCCGAACTGAAGACAACTCAAACGTGAAATTAGTTATTCTGATCTTATCTAACGTCGGCAAAGTAACGTCCACCAAGACGTTATTTACGTCTATATGGTAGGAAAAAGCATAATTCCCCGCTAAATGTTTTACCCATTAAGTGCCTTTTTTCCGGCTTGAACAATCCGCCATGTCGTGACCGTCTTAAAGAACTTAATTTGCTTTGCCCTAATACCAAATGTTCTGTATCCTCGGCAGTGACTTCATCGAAATATGTATGCAACATTCGGCTCTAAAGTTGACTAATTTTTGCTGTATTACTGAGGTGTTTAAACACTCTGCCGTTCGAAGCCTACTTAACAATCTTTATGCTCGTTTAGTGGTGTATTTTGCTGTTGTGAATTTGATTCAAAATGCGAAATTGCAGCGAAGTTACATTTAGCTCCCGAAAGTACAATCATAAGACACGGCAAAAAGAAACAATGAACCCTGAAGTTGATAAAAAGGATGAAAATTGGTCGGGGAATGGTTCTGGCCCGTGTGCTGTCGGACATGCAATCTCTATCAGTGAGCCAAAACTTAACTTCGGAACATGCAGTAACTCAGATTAAAGAGAAGTGTTAATGATTGTTTTGATAAAATATTTGCCATTTATATCCTGCTTTCTTGATTACTGAATGTGTTCGTAAACCAAAGGAAAGCTGTGTCTATGTTAATGTTGCTTGTCACTTCAACGTATTCAGTGCCAATCGCTAACGCTTCACTGCTCCAGTCAAGATGGCCACAATACGCGCACTTACCTGCCCATCGGCTTGTTCATGTCAGCAGCTTCTTTCCAATCGTTCGTTTCAGCTTACTAGTGAACGCAGATACATCCTAACTTTTCCGATGTATCAAAAATGAAGATAGAAACGGTAAATGTGCCTAATGGGATATGCATCACCGCTTATATTATACTGTTATAGGAAGGCCCTTGAAACGAAGAATACTAATTTTCTCTTGAGTACAAAGTTCGTACCTGCCCATCCGCTTGTTCGTCTTTACAGCTTCTATCCAATTGTTCATTTTAGCTTACGAGTTAACGCAAAGATAAATCCTTGCTTTTCCGATTTATCAAAAATGAAGATAGAAACTGCAAACGTGCCTGATATGATATGCATCACCGCTTATATTATACTGTCAATGCGGGAGCCAGATAAAAAAAATGCACAGACTTCACCCTTAGAAATAGATTTGCATAAAAAGTTTTTAACTTTCTGGAGGTTTCAAATTTTTACCCTCCACTCCCAACGCCTTTGTAGTTCAAATAACACCCTGTCGTGATATGGGCTGCAAGCACAGACTAATTTTATTCTGTTTGTTTCAACGAATGATAATCTATAAAGTTCGCGCCTGTTCAAACCAGTTTCCGCATTGACAATATATATTAGCATTAATGTTCCATTACGCCTGTAGCACTTAAATTGGGATATGTGGGACCATCACTCCTAAAACTTGGACACGTTCCAAGCACGAGAAAAATATATTTATTATTAGTTGCATCATCTTTTTTGCGTGACTTGTTTCATCAAGGGGGAGGTTCTTTCAATTGCCATCAAATAGTAGGTGAGGCCACCCACTGTTATGGAAAATATATCCACCTAGTTATTGAATTGTGTATAGAAGCGTACAGTAAAATGAAGAGATTGAAATCAAATTTCACCGCTTCATAGCCAAGTGACGGTCTACATCACATAATAGTCGGAGGTTCTCAAAAAGGACACTACAATCGTCCACTCAGAGCTATATCCTCTTCCAAACGCACGCCGCAATGGCTTACCAAAATTGGTGAGCCGTCTGTTTCCACGTTTTAACTTTGTCTTCTTCTAGTGTGTATGAAATGGTTCACTTGTCATTAAAACGCTGTAGGAGCAAACCGACGACAAACACTTGTCATAGTTTGCTTCGATAATTTTAGTGAATGAGCAATGCATGTTTACTGGGGGTTGGTTAAAAAGTTGAAGAAGAGATTTCTATAGTTAACATTATTATTGTATTATTCTGATTATCTTTTGTTTTGTGTGAGACCTGCAAACGGCTAAATGTTTCGTCTACGTTGAATAAATTTATCTATTTAATATATCTATCTATCGCGATGATGATAAGTAGGCAAAAAAGAGTAATGATGCAACGTGTGCATGTAGCACTTAAGTTGGGTTTTGAGGGACCTGGAAGAAGGCTCTTGAAGCGAAGAATACTAATTTATTTCTGAGTACAAAGTTCGTGCCTATTCAAACCGCTTTCCGCATTGACAGTATATATTAGCATTGATGTTCCAACACGTTCATTTTCAGTTTTCATCTTCTTTTCAGAATATCCCAGAAAATAGTTCCTTCGCCCTGCCTTGTAGTCTGTAATGGCCGAGATGGAGGCAGCAGTTGAATTAAACCAACCAATAGTCAGGTAAGTGTTTCTAGCTGCTTTAGCCATCCTGACTTCTGCATTAAAGCACAAGGCATAATTACCAAGATATGACAAGCAACATTGAGACAAACGCACGTATTCTTTCATTTGACAAAAGTTAAAAAAAAAGGACTTCTTATATGAATGCAAAGTATTTATTTCAAAACCCGTAACACTCTTCCTTACTAAGAGTAACTAAATTGTCATAAGATGAAAAGCTACCAGCTTTTGGTGCTTAGGTTCACTAGAATCCATTTCCGACATCAAGCTACAGTGATCGGATCAGAGACCTGACCATGCTAGATCGTTTTGAAATTCTGGAGTCATTTGTCTTTTTCAAACACATATCGACTGCGCCATATTTGACTGACAACGGCGTTTTGGAAACTAAGAGTTAGGTCCGTTGAGGCTTTACGTGGGTTCCGCATAGACAATTTATACTTAACCATAAAACAAGGAACACCCTACCTTAAGGAGCTAACCAGGTGATATTACTTAGTTTCACGAGAATCCTTGTCCAAACTGCAGCGACCAAATCAATTCCACAACGAAGTTCACAGCAGAACTTACTCTAAACATACATTTTTTCTTTTTTAGAATTCTACCCATTATTCCTCTACATATACCGTTTGATTGTTAATAAAAACTGCCATTTTTTCGCGCTTAATATTTTTGATGCTACTTCTGGCAGCGAAATGAAACTACTTTGCATTTTTTACGACCAAATTTTTACGTCGATGCTGCCATTGAGGTTATGAACGAAGATTGAGAATATTTGGTACTAAGGCAAAGCGAATTATGTTCTCTATGACGGTCACGACATTATGGATTGTTTAAGCTTGGAAAATAAGCATTTCACACTGAAATCTTTCGCAAGGAATATTCTTTTTCTGCCGAATAGACATATTTAAGCTTACGGTGGACGTTAGTTTGTCGACGTAAGGTAAGATCAGAATAACTACTTTTAAGTTTGAATTGTCTTGATTTCCTTTCGAGTGCAAATTGAGCAAACTTGTAGCAGGAGATTACTTCTGAGCAAAAACTGAAATATCGAGAAACCTATTTATTTGCCTGCCACAGGCTTTGACTCGACATCCAGAAACTTCGATCTATTTTCGCCATCTAGCAGAGGAGTTTGATTTGCAATTTAGCCTGAGGCTTCAACAAAGAGGAAACAAATAGTTGAAATGCCACAGACTATATAAAATTTGAAGCGAGATTGGAAAAGACTTCCGCTAAATAAGAACCTTGAAGAAGTAATGAAAACGATGAAGATGAACCAATCGTCAAGAATCCATGAATAAAAAATACCCTGGGTTGCTTTATTCGTTTTCTGTCGTCGATTCTATGAGCGGACGAAGGACAAAGGCGAAGGCGTGTAGTCCTGGCATTTTGTTGCGTTTGATGTCAGTGGGGGTCTCAAATGCACCGAGAGCTGTCTTAACTTTTTGTACTTTTTCTTACGTTCAAAAACAATAGAAAGAAAATCTAGATGTGGTCTATAATTGAGAAATATTTACCCGACTAACATAACTTACAAAGTTGAAAGAAAAGTTTATAAAGATTGTGAAATGATGAATGAAACAGAGGGCTCACCAAAAGACTTCGTTAAGATTTCCTATACTGGTATCCGTTTTAAGCGTGTGTTGAGAAATAGAAAAGATACCTCTGTGTCTACGATTGTAGAGTCTTCTCTATGCCCTCAGAATATAAACTAAGTACTCTGTTTCCAGGGTACGATTTCATAAAATTTGATTTAAACTTCCGCTTAATATTTTTCTGTATGCTTCTATACACCATTCTTTAACAAGGTGAAAAGGTTTTCCATATTTTTGAGTGAAGTCCCAGGCATATTTCTTCCTGTGGTTTATGACTTCCTCGATATAGTCTCGTTAAAATAGTTTGGGTTGACAATATGTCACCCCACCGATTATTTTGATGGTGATTGATGATGAAACGAGTCACGCGCAATGAAGATGACGCAACTAACCACAAATCTGTTTTTCACGCGCATGGAACGTGTTCAAGTTTTAGGAGGGATGTGTGTATGAAATGGTTCACTTGTCATTGAAACGCTGTAGAGATAAGCCGACGACAAACACTTACCATAGTTTTCCTTGATAATTTTATTGAAGGACCTTTGCATGTTTACTAGGGGTTGGTTGAAAAGCTGAGGTCGATTTTTGTATAATTATTGTAATATTTTCATTATCTTTTTTTTGTGTGTAAATCCTGTAAACTGACCATCCGGCTAAACGTTTCGTCCACGTTAAATAAAGTTATCTATTTTAGCAGTTATGTTCCGAATCAGGTACACTTGCAGTTTCCTCTGGCATGTGGAAGATTTCGGTAAAGTACGTAATTTTATTTGCACTGACCTACAGTCTGAAGGAGAAAAAGTTATCAACTTTACAGTCGAATTTTACCTTTACATTTTTATTTAAGATCGGTTTTTTCACTGGATAACTGTCAGGAAATAGGAGCGTCAGAAATAAAAAGAAAACATTCTATCACTCCTCATTAAGCTGAGTTAATGCATCCTTACGAGATAAAAAGCTACCTGTTTTTGGTACTGTGGAACCTAAAATCCATGTCGGACATCAAGGCGCAGTGATCAGATAAGGGCTTGAATTGTTGTGCGTTCTCTAAAATTTTACAAGAATAGAAAGAAAATGTAGATGTAAAAAGTTTTGCTGAATCTGGTTTAGAATGTAAAAATATATACATGACTGACGTGATTTATATAGCTGGCTGGAATGCTTATGTAGATGGTGGAATGATGTTCAAGTTAGTGATAGCGTTTTGCGAGAAATTCAAATCTATAACCCCGGGGAATGAAATTGAACTCGTCCCAAATACCAGTCTATGCAACCAGTTGAAATATTTATGCCTACTGTGAGCTAAAGAAACTGACGTAATGCAAGCAACGGCCACCAGCACTTACTACAGTTACTCAGAAGCGCAGCCAAACTATCAACAAAAATCGGATTAGAAGTAAGGTATTTATCTTTGAGAGCCCAAGATTCTTGCCATGGAAGTTGTGATCACTTATGAGAATGAAATTAGTTCAACTATTTGTAAAATTGTCGCAGCTGCCTCAAACAGTTACAAGGCCACTGAGACAGAAATGACCCGAATATTGCTTAGGGTTAGTTATAACTGACTGTTGACATTCTCTCGTGTAGGTCCAGCCGGCTTCGCCCGACAGATAAGAAACGTCCACTTGGGTGTGGGGCTATCAGCATGGGGCGCAAGAACAAATCTCTACCCATTGGTGTTTTGTACCAAAGAGCCTTCGAAAAATTTGGGGTTTTTCTTGCTCGGAGATCAGTGGTTTTTCTTCTGTTGTTCCTCCTTTTTGCTATAGGTAGCTGGTTCGGATTTATTCGCCTTCGTATCGAGCAGCCTAACGTTGAGTCTTTCATTACCACTGACAGCCAATCTAGGCAAGACTTGCAGGTTGCTGCCCGATTCTTTCCAACGCTTGAAGCGCGTCAAGAACAAGTTATTATGACTCCTAAACACAAAAAAAATATTTTGAGCGAGGAATGCTTGCGAGACGCCCTTATGGTGCACAAAGCCATAATGAATATTAGCGGCTACACCAGATTATGTTTTAGGCAACGGTTTTCAAGCATTCTACAAAAAAAAGTTGGGCACAGATGCATGGTCAGCAGTCCTCTTGAACTGGCCGGAACTTACTTCCAACATTTAAACAACCTTTCAACCATTCTGACGCGTGAATTGATCAACCCTACAATTCTTCTCTCTTCTGGTCAAACATTCAAATCTTCTCACTCGCAAATGTTGGCTAATTTTCAAATAGAAGGAAATAGAGATCCACTGACAGCTCATGCCGACGCTCTTCGTGCTATTTACTTCATGAAAAAGTCAAGTAGTAAAGAAGACGAAGAAGAAATTTCGAGCTTCGAATCCTCCTTTGACAGTCTCCTCTCTTCGATGGGTCCGCGCTTGAAATGTGCAAAACTTTCCTATAAGACTGAAAGAGCATCAACGGATGCCTTGCAAGATGTCTTTAAACCGGCGGTGAAGTCTTTTTTTATTTCAGTGTTCGCATTGCCTGTCCTTGCATTCCTTGTTGTTTACTTTTTTTTTACTAACGCCAGTTGTTTATCAAAGGCGTTCCTGATGTTGTCTTCCATTATTTTACCAATATCAATTTCTGCTGGTGCTGTCTCCATGACGATCACTCCCCTTTCCTCAACTACCCTATGTATTCCCTTCTTGTTGTTAGGAAAGGCAACCTCTGACGTTGTACTTTTCCTGGTGGAATGGGAAAGGCAGAGAAAAGTGTCATCACTTGAACATCGCGTCAGTAATTGTGTAGCTAGAACAGGGGTCCTAGCTACGATGACAGCCCTTTGTGGAACGCTTCTTTCTGGAATTGCAATCAAATCTTCTTTTGAGGGGATTCGCAATTTTTTTGTGACAGTACTTATCTTTTATGTAATCATTTCTGCTTTTACTTTTATAATAACAGTCATTTTGCTGATGTACTTTGAGATGGCATCAAAGACATCCAACACCCTCCGTCTTCCGCAGTGCAAAATGAAATGTCTCATTAATGAAGTTGAAAATGTCCCTCAAGGACGCCTACAACGCCATGAAACAAAACTGCGACTAATTCTTAAGGGATTGCCAGAAAAAATAACATCACGTGGTGGCAAAATTCTCTCGTTTGTACTACTTTCCATAATCATCGCTCTGTGTATTTTGTCCATACTCTTACCCGGAGAAAGAGTTCGTACCATAGAGTCCCACTACCAGAATGACAACTTCAAACAGTTCAGTCGGGCACGAAAGATTTTCTTCCATGATGAAACTGATATAAGCATCGTTTTCTCCGAGGACATTGACTATTCATTTGAAACTGTGCAAAATCATATAATATCAACGTGTGCGAAACTGGAAGAGGCCACTTATGATGAAGGAAAGTTACTATGTTGGATGGCAGACTTACGCCAGTGGATACAAAATGAAAACATGAACTGTTCGCACTCAAAATTCTACCAGTGTTTGAAACATTTCCTTAATGATTCTCACAGTTTGCCATTTCGACAAGATCTCCTTCTGGAAATTTCAACTTCTGGTGTCAAAATTTCAGCGTCTCGAATTCATCTAAGGATGTCACTCGACAACAGATTTCAAGAGGACAGAGAATCCCTCAAGAAACTGAGAGGCGACTTACTTGAAAAGTCTCCCTTAAAAGCCATCCCTGTCTCTAAGGAGTTTTTCGACCTTGATGATCTCTCTAAGTTCGAAAAAGAATCAGTTGTAATTTTGTTCGTTGCTGGTACAGTGGCAGTGTTTACAATTTCTTTTCTTGCTACCGTTCGTTGCGGTATCAGTACCTTTTTGGCTCTGACATTCGACCTCTTTGTAATGGAAGCAGCTGCTATTTTGAGAGCAATGGGAAGTTACGTGAATCAAATTGCCTTTCTTTCTCTTTTTGCGCCGATCATCATATCCTTAAACTTTAGTTTTGAAGTTGGCCATTCGTTCTTGTTTTCAGGTAAGCAAGAAATACGGGAGCGCATGATTGACGCCCTGCGTTCTGTTGGGTTGCCAGTGCTGATTGGCACGCTAATATCCGTGGCTGCCTCTGTCTCATTAGGGTTTATTCTTCCCAGCTTGGCAGAAATTTTCCATCTAACCCTCCCTGTGATCTTAATTTTGGGCTTGATCCACGCTCTTATAATACTCCCAGCAGTCATCATAATGTATGAGGAATTTGTGCACAGATCTCATTGCAGTAATGATGAAGAAGATGAACCAAATAGCAAGGAAGTTCAAGACTTGCCCCTAAAGGAAACACAAGGTGGCAACATAGGGAAGTTCTTGTCTAGACGTCCTGGAATTTCTATTGTCGGCATCAGTTGTAAATTCCCCGGTGCTGGCAGTGTAGACCAATTTTGGATTCTTCTAAAGCAAGGAAAAAGTTCAATCAGTGCAGTTCCCAAGAATAGAACAGAGCAGTATAGAAGATTCGTCGAGCATTACAATCCCAACCGTTTTGTTAAAAAACGCCTATGCACTATCAACGGTTCTTTCTTGGAAGAAATTCGAACTTTTGACAACAGATTCTTTGGTATCTCCAGCCAAGAGGCTCGTGGAATGGATCCTCAACAAAGAATTATCCTACAAGTGGTGTATGAGGCAATCGAAGATGCAGGAATGCGACTTGAAGACCTACAGAGGTGTAGAACAGGTGTTTTTGTTGGTGCTATGAATCTTGACTACGGTAGTCTTTTAAGAGAACAATCAAATAGTGGCAATATTGATCAGTTTTCCGCGACAGGAACAACGGCCAGTATTCTGGCTAACAGAGTGTCATTTTGCCTTAACCTAACGGGTCCAAGTCTTGTTGTGGACACAGCGTGCTCTTCATCGCTTACTGCTCTAAAGATAGCCTGTGATAACCTGCACAATGATGATTGCGACGTAGCCATTGTTTGTGCACCTAATCTCATTCTCTGTCATCATATGCAGATGATAGCAAGTATGGCTGGGCTAATCGCGCCCGATGGGCGTAGTAAAAGCTTTGATGCTACTGGGGACGGTTATGGACGAGGAGAAGGCTTTGCAGCGGTAGTTTTAAAAATGACAAGAGATGCTTTGTGTGACAAAGACGATCCGTATTGCGAAGTTATTGCATGTGGAATGAACAGTGATGGACAAAATGCTGTGCCGATCTCTGCTCCAAGTTCCCAGATGCAAGTTCAACTATCAAGGTGGGTGCTGGAACAATCAGGAGTGACTGCAGAAGACGTGGATTACCTTGAGGCACATGGGACTGGTACTGCAGTCGGTGACTTAGCGGAGGTCACCTCGATAGCGGAGACCTACACTAGTAGAGCCACACAATACTCACAGAAGTTAAGAATCGGTTCAGTAAAATCCAATATAAACCACACAGAAAGCACCTCTGGACTTGCTGGGCTAGTCAAGGCTGCTCTTATGATAAAAAAGAAGACATTTGTACCAACTGTCAACGTTCAAGTTTTGAATCCCAAACTAAAGCTAGAAGAGAAGGGGCTAGTTGTGCAACAAACTCTTGAGCCTTGGAGCAAAGAAAATGGAAAGTCGCGAGTAGCAGCTGTAAACTCATTTGGATTTGGTGGGTCAAATGTTCATGTTATACTCCGCGAGGTTACATCAACGCCAAACCTAAAAGTTAAAAACTTGACACGCCGTAATAGAATTCTCACGATCACAGCGCGCTCTAAAGATGCTCTCAAGGAGATGTCACACCTTTACTCCGAGTGGATTAAGGCCAATGCTGGAGAAATGGATGAGCACTTCGTTGAAAACTTATGCTACTCTTTAAATGAACGCCGAACTCAGTACCCGCATCGCTTGGCAATTGCCTTTGGATCCATTTCCGAAGCAGCAAAATCACTGGAGGCCTTCGCCAGTGACTCTGCTGGTTGGGATAAGTTTGCTTCCTATGCCCAAGTGACCTCAAGAGACAGAAAACTTGTTTTCATGTTTGGAGGCCAGGGATCGCAATGGTATGCCATGGGGAGACAGTTAATGGAATGTGAAACTATTTTCAGAGAGGCTGTCTTGACAGTTAACAACTTTCTGAGAGACTTGGGAGTGACATGGTCACTAAAAGATGAGTTGATGGCCCCTGAAGCCGTTTCTAGAATAGCGGAAAACTGTATCGCTCAGCTGGCCACTTTTGCTATCCAGTACGCAACTGCGCAGCTGCTGAAATCCTGGAAAATCCATCCTTCAGCTGTTATTGGTCACAGTTTGGGAGAATTTGCAGCTGCTTGCGTTGCTGGAATCATAACTGTCAAGGAAGCTGTTAAGCTAGTACTGGCTCGCTCAACTCTTCAAGATAAATGTGCCAACAATGGAAGAATGGCTGCTTTAGGCATGTCCGAGGTCAAGGCCCGAGAATTACTACTTACCCTTGAATTAAGCCCCTCTCTCGACATAGCAGCAATTAATGATGCTAATAGTGTCACAGTATCTGGTGAATCACAATCGATTGAAGCACTGAGAGAACATCTACCGACGCACGCAAAGGATACTTTCTGGCATGTTCTTGGAACAAATCATGCATTTCACAGCCTGCATATGGAACCCATCAAGAAACCTTTTCAGGGAGCTGTTGAAGCCATGCATCTTAACCCTAAATTGTCGAAAGTTCCAATGTACTCTACTGTTGAGGGAGAAGTGATTTCGAGTCAGCACTTAAACAATGATTATTGGTGGCGAAACATTCGATGTCCAGTCCAATTCTATCCAGCAATGAAACAACTTTTAAGAGATGGCTACAGACAAATTGTTGAGATCAGTACCCAACCAATTCTAGCCCACTATGTCAAACAGATTGCTCTTCAAGAAAATCTCACAGTTAAAGAAAGGCCCATTGTCGTGGCAACTCTTCCGCGTAAGAGGGTACCCATCGAGGATCAACACAGATGCTTTCTTCAGAACACAATATGCATATTGTACGCGGCAGGATTTCCAGTAGAATGGACTCAGATGCAAAAGAACCAGTCAGCTAGATTCGTTCGGCCACCAAATTCACCATGGCTGGAAAACAGCTTTTGGTTCAGGGATGGCCCATTGGAAACTGTAGTGCACCGTCTTGGGTCTGAGGAAACCATAAGGAAGCAACCGCATCCATTTCTTTCAGAGGTAAAAAAGACAGACCCATTTTCAGGTGTACACTGCTGGGAGACGGATATTGACCTACAGAAATTTCAGAGTCTAAAGGACCATGTTCTTCTTGAGGGAGGTACAGTGCTGCCCGGAGCTGCTTACCTGGAGATGGCATTTGCAATGGCAAAAGAAACTTTCAATCATGGCTCTGGCGTTGAACTAAAAGATGTAAATTTTTTGAGTATCCTTACCTTGCCAGAAACAAAGGTAAACAAATGCTAAATAAAAAATACAGTGAAGCTACAGTTGAATTTCTGAATGGTTATAATCCTTTTTAATTTAGGTTAGATCCTTACGACTACGCCTGGTAAAGTCAGAAAGAATTGACGAGGCCCAGTTTCACATCACTTGTTTGCATGAAAACCAGTCTGAAATCAGTTTAAGCAGTGGAAATATCTCTGTAGATCTCTTGCACTATAATAAAAGCTGTGGGGACAAAGGTACTGTAACATTGTCATGCCCGCTTCTGTTCTCTGTTTATTTGTATACCTCTAAATTTTGTAAAAGTTGTTTTGAAAGCCACAATTATTTAATACTTTAACATTGACATAGATATTTGCTTATTTTTTGCTGGCAGGTTGCGATGAAGTTGGCCCAGCCTTAAATGATTTGATCCGAAGTATGACAGAAGTGCCTATTGGTCGATTAAAACAATTAACCCAGAAGTATGGCTTTGACTTTGGAAAATCTTTCTCGTTAATCAAAAAAACGTGGTACTGCGACAACAGTGGACTTGCTCTGGTCGATATTGGTGATTCACCTCTGGTTCAGGCAGAAAGTAAAGATTTTATCGTACACCCTTCCATTTTAGACGCCTGTTTTCAATCCTGCTTGCTTTCACGGGTGAACCGACAGATTGATGATTTAGCCGTTGTTCCACTTCCATTCGAACTGAAGAGCATTACTTTAAGTGACGTTCCATCCACTAATCAGCTGTATTGTCACGTCTCTGAAGATCTCAGTTATATTGAAAGGTACAACATTACATTAATGAGTCCATCAGGCAACGTTTTACTGATCATGAGCGGGTTTCGAGCCGTGGAAATGAGGCAATTACCACGGCAGTTTACCTCCGATGAGAGTCTTGCATATGAAATGCTGTGGAAGGAAGCTGATGTGCAAGAACACAAACGAATGGCTCCAGATTTGACTTGTATCCTACTTAGGGAAAGCTCTTCGTTCTCAAACGCATTAATCACAAAACTTCACGACTCGAAGGTAAAAGTAATTACCGTTGATCCACCAAAGAGTTTTTGTTTTGACGCTAAAACAATAGAGGCAATCAGCACGGCCTTTCTTGACACACCCCCAAACGATTCATTCAGCGTTAAAGTGGTTAATATGTGGCCAGTAGAAACCACTCAATTACCGAGCAACTTCGATGTCATCCAACAAGTGCAAAACCTTGCCCTCAGTAGCTCAGTATTTTTGATCCAGCAGCTCGTTAACAAAGGGTGGCCTAACTGTCATCTGCTGCTGGTTACTGAAAGTACGCAACGGTTAGATACCTCCATCAGATCTCCACAGAGTAATTTCATTCCGTGGGCGTCAACAGTCTGGGGTCTAAGACGAACAGCGAAGCTCGAAGAACCTGATTTGAAGATTACAACAATTGATCTTGGTGACAAGAATGACCTTGATGAGGTGGATTGTTTGCTTTCTGTGATCTTTGGTGATGGTAAGGAAGATGAGGTGGCCTTCCGAGATGGGAAATGTTTCATAAATCGCCTTGTGAGATCAAAAATTTCCTCAGAGCAACCTACAAGCGACGAAAATTTCAGAAAAAAGGAGTCCTCTCTTTACTTGTCGAATATCCCTGCCTTACAGAAGATCTGTCTGCGCCAAAACAGTGTTTCTAAACCATTGCTCTCTGAGATCACAATGGAACTGTTTCATTTCTGGACACCCTCTGAGTCCATAGTTGATGCAGCCAAACCAAATGCTTGTATCTTTACTGTTGGAAAGGTGGTTGCTCTACCGAGGGGAACAGAAATTGCAAAGTTGCAGGTTGGCGATGTGGTGTGTGGTGTTATGACCTCTGGACGTGTTTCTCGTTCTCTTCCCATTCGAGCAAACAACGTGTTCTCTAAGCCTGCCTGTCTAACTCAAGAACAAGCGACATGTATCCCTGCTTCTCTAGCTATAGCCTTTTATGCCTTACAAAGGGTGGCAACAACGGAAGAAAGTAAGACGTTACTGATACATCAAGCTCAACTTAGCCCTGGACCTGCATCAGTTGCCCTTGCAAAGACATTGGGGCACAGAGTATTCTGCACCATATCTGACACTTGCCAATCATCGACTACATCCGCTCTCCTAGAGTTGGGAGCCGAGAGTGTGGTACATCAGAGATTCACTAGTTTTGAAGATCATTTTAGTTACCCTCTCGATGCAATTATCTTTTTCCACCCACCTCCTCCAAACACTCTTCAGAAAAGTAGTCGGACTCTCAAACGCGGGGGAAAAGTTATCATTTTGTGCCCTGAATTCAGTGGTGATGTCGTACTTCCTGCAAATAAAAACGTTGTGTATGAAAGAGAGAACATTTCAGACATCCTTCGATCACCGCAGACTTACCAAAAGCTTAGCTTAGAAAGTCTAAGAGTCCTAGAAGATGGAGGACTTCTTGAAAAGCTTCTGGAAATCAACTTGATATCCACCGAAGTACCAACAGCAGTTGAAGCTGCAAACGAAACCAGGCTCAACGAATCATCTTCGAAACGTTCAACAACATCATCCCCAGGTATTTCCTTTCACATTTATTCATTTGCGCCGTCTGAAGCCGGTTTTCCTCTACAAAAGATTCCCGTTCTTCCACGTGGTCTGGATGAGTGTGGCCTCAAAGAAAACAGAACGTATCTAGTAGCAGGAGGGATCAGAGGATTTGGATTTGAAGTGGCCTGTTGGATGGCTGGAAATGGAGCCAAGTCTATTGGGCTTGTTGGTCGTTCCAAGCCCTCAGATGCAGAAAACCAAAAGCTAAGGGATATCGAAAGGAAGACAGGCGTGCAGTTCCATATTTTCCAGGTAATTTAATGCATCACCTTTAAGGAGTCCCCATAGGCTCTTTTTGACTGCGCGAGATCTGGGTACGAACAAAGCGCGAGCTATGCAAAATAAACATGGCGGCTCAATACGATCGCACGATTGTTATCTGGAAAGGTGTGTTAAAAACAGTTTAACACAATACAGCTTTTATGTGATGAAGTCTCGGGTTTCCAGCGACTGCACCCGTAATATTCATAGGCCTTCTACGCCTGAAAAAGAGGTCAACCGAAAAGAGAACACCGTGGGAAAAATTGCCAAAAGGCGACAGATTTGAAAGTTAACACATGCTCAGATATAGATCTTGGCTTTCCCTCAGTGGAATTTCCTAAGATTTGCTGGACCCTTTGACAAATTTGTGCCGTTCTTAGTGCCTATTGACACAAACAATTCACAAGACCAAGTTTTAGACAGACCAAGAGAAGACAAAATGGCAAATAGCAAGGAAACTGCCCTTGAAACCCCTATTTTTTTCGGCTTTTAAATGATTAGCAGGACAAATTTCACTATTGTGAAAGCCTTGAGAGATTTCACCGAAGCAAATTGAAGAGTAACAGGGAGTAAAGCCAAATTATCACTGGCGAGCGCCTCCCTTCGTGGAGCCTTCGCTTAAAAACGAAAATCATTTTGATAATATTATTACAGCAAAGGATAGTCCGAACCTTGCTCGTCGCCGTTTTGATGGCCTCTAGTGACCTACAAAAGCGAAAACAGCAAAACAAACGCGCGCCAACATTGAGGAAAAACCCTATATGGAGCCTCCTTAAATAAGAAAATATCTCATCTGGTAAGAGGCATGCTACGAAGACACTTTTCATGCTGAAAGAATGACAAGCTGACAAGATTAAAATTTCCCGAGTAGGAGAAGCCAGGTGCTTCTGAAGGATGTCTGAAAAACCGTTTTGGATTTGAAGCACAGTGAGAGGTTTAGGAATTAAAAATTATATTATCCTTGCTTCTTTTAGATTGACATCTCAAAACAAGAGCCCATGAGGTCGTTGAAAGCGCAGCTTGAATCTCTTCCAAGTGTAGCAGGAATAGTACAATCTGCTATGGTTCTCAACGATGCCTTAATTAAAGATTGGACATTTGAAGGCTTCACAGACGTCATGGGACCTAAAATTAAAGGTTACTGTAATAATTTAGTGTCAGGAGGTTTAAACCTTTTTCCTTAATCTTTCAAAATTTTTATTGTTCTTAAAATGTTGGAGAACGTTTTCAAAACTATGAAACCGAGTGATGCTCCCAACGTTGTAACCATTCATGAGAAGTTTTTCTTTACTTAACATATATGTCGCCCTCATCAAATACACGAGGAGACTTTGGTAGCGGGAGTGTGTACTTTTTATCTACATCACAATAATGCCAGTTAAATTGAGTTGACGAAACTTTGGCCAAAATATTTCACAACCAACTCTACTTTAAAACTGAAGAAATGCTTGGACAACGCTTACATCATCTCGAAATTGACTAAACCATATGATATATTGATCTAGAGCACATGCAACACCTGAGCTTCACAAATTTGCGTCTTCACTTTAAATTTAGCCGAAATAATGACTGTGAGATATATTTTAGGTTCCTTTTTACTACACCAAATGAGCCTGGAAATGGATCTGGATTTCTTCGTTATGTTTTCGTCTATGGCATCAGTCGTTGGAAACATAGGATCATCCTCATATTCAGGCTGCAATGCTTTCCAAGATTCTCTCGCCCATTACCGGAGGCAGGTGCTTGGTCTACCCGGTCTTTCGATAAACTGGGGACCTATAGGAGGGGCTGGTGTGTTAGCACGTAATATGGCACTGGCTAAACACATGGCAGCAACAGGACTGGGCTTCATAAACGCTGAAGATGGTAAAGTATAGTTCACAAAGATAATAAATTTTTAAGGTCAACACCTACTAAATGCTTCCATCTGCATGTTAAGTGGTTCAAAGAGGCAACAAAACTAACAGTAATGAGTGCAGATGAAAAAGTTCCTCTATATTTGAAAAGCTGAAAGCATCAGCTCTGAGGCTATCTTTGACTCAGTGACTGAAAAGCTACGATTAATTTGTTTTTATTGTGCACAGAACAGTGTCTCTATTATTTTACTTTTGAATGGATGATTGAGCTGATTGCAAAGTGTTTACTCCATGAATAAGAACTCTCACGAACAATAGAAATCAGTTGGGGGTAAATGGTGTTCCTGAATATGAGACGGCAGCTTCTGCTGAATAAGTCAATACATATTTCGCCAACTTGAAGTTTTCTAAAACAAAACCTTCTCTGCTTCCTTCGTACGCCGGGATTCAAGTTGCATATTCATGATACTCGTGCACAGTCAAGCTGTTCATCACAATAACGTTTCACAGGCCATTTTTTAATTACTTTTCAGGTGTCAAATTCATGGCCAAAGTTTTAACCCAGGAGCCGAGTCGTTCTCAAATCTCCCTATTTGGTGTTGACTGGTTTCGATTCATGAAAAGTAACACGGGACTTCAAAAGAGTCTCCGATTTTCACTGATCACCGCCGGAATGAGCATTTCTGATGGCCAGACAAACATAACCGATTCTTTGCTGCAAAGGATTCAGATGGAAGGGAATCCAGAAGCAAAAGGCAAACTTGTCTTGGAGTACATTTGTATGGTTATGTCAGACTTGTCAGGACATTCGTTTTCTTCAGAAATGGATCTAAACAAAAGCTTGTACAGCCAGGGTATTGACTCAACTTCAGCTTTGACCCTTAAAATGCTACTTGAATCCAATTTACAGGCTACGTTTGAGGTAAGTTCGTCACGTAATGAGTTAAACATTATTTAATTGAGATCTTTTTCTTTTGATGGTAAGATATCAAACTCCCGTTGAATAAAGAGCGGCCTAGCCGTCAAAAATATCTAAAAATGTTTTTAGTTTTATAATAAGGTAATTGTGTTCCAATTGTACTTGAACTCAATAGCTGTCCATTTTGATTCAAGTGGATCAAAATCGTCCCACCACATGCAAAATCAAACAAATTAATAGATGCCGAGCTTTTTATTTGGTGCCATTATAATCATAAGTCAGTTACAAAGAGTATTTTGAAAAGTTATGGTTGAAGTCTCGGCTCATAAATGTTTTGCGTGATCATTTTTCAACATGAAATTGGTGGTTATAAGTGAACAGTTTTAAAATACTTTCGATAAACTGCAACCTGGTGGCCACATTACGCATTTCTTCATTAAGATGGAAATGTATGAGTACTGAGATGTTTAAAAATAAATCCTATAAGATTCAACCTTCTTCTTTTATTTCTCAGATTCTATACTTTATGCAGCCTGATACCACTGTATCAAAATTGGCTAGGGAAGTTAATGCCAAGCTTCTTGGAAAAGCAACCAGCCTTAATAGTGAGACCCACGAAAATGAACCCACGGACACTCAATCATCAGAACAATCATCTCCCTCAATCATCTTATCAGAGCCTGAAGTGCAAGTCCTACCTCTGTACTCTCCTGAGGGCTCAGCAATAAAATTCTTCTGTGTCCATCCCTCACACCGCTATGTGTTAAGTTTGGTGCCTATATCCACTGGATTTCAAGGACAGGTATAGCCCTGACAATTCAATCATGTTATTTATCGCTAAAGTCAGTTTTGTAAGTCCACATACTCCTCTATAGGACTATTGACAGAATGAGATCTCGTTCCAAATCTATTGCTGCATAATATCTTACAACCCATAAAAATTACCCTTTACATTTCTCCCCTAACTCGAAAAGTGGAAGGCTATGGCTAAAGAAACACTTTCTAGCTTATAGGAGTCATGCATCGAAGACTAAGATGTCTGATGAAGTCACAATTTCTAGGGATTGAGCTTTTCCTGGTTTGCTAAAGTGACTTTTAAAGGAATAGACTCTAGCTGATATGCTCTACAAGCCGTCTTGACCTCTAAGTAATTTTTTTCCCTAAGGAGAGCTGGTCTGAGCTTTCATTTGTAAAAGTCTTTCAACGTATGGCCGTATCTTTCATTTTTCCTCATCAGGATTTGATATCCTTTTATGCCCTGGGCTTTACCGACCCCACAGTCATCAGTGAAGACTGGGGAAGTGTACGAGAGCTTGCCACACATTATGTGCATTTGATCATGAAGGAGCAACGCCACGGACCATACTTTCTAGGCGGATATTCATATGGAGGACTTCTGGCGTACGAAATGGCTTCCCTGTTGATAGAACAGAATCAGAGTGTGGAGTTTGTTGCCATGATTGACACAATCCCTTGGTCATCACGTTCACAGACTATAGCCTCCAGGCTGTTTACTACGCAAAGAGTTGACTTGATGTTATCTCAACAAGTTCAGGTTTGACAAAAACACAAAATTTTCAGTTATTGTTAAAATTGTACATCCCGCTAATAGCCAATTTGATAGACAAAGCTTTGAGATAAAATGCATATCATTTTGGGGTTGCTGTCTTTGAAGTTTATGAATTAATGTAACTCAAGCGAGTGTATGTATGGGTGATCTCTTTGGATAATTTCGTCTATGGTCTTAGGGTTGAAGTACTATTTATCTAAGGAATCAGGATTTGACGTCTTGAAAAATCTAAAAATATTGCTTTCGAACCTGACTATTGATACATTAGACCTTCAAACTCAAATAATTTTAGACATAAAGAGAACTTTCATTTGTATTCAGAGAGGGAAGCAGACTAGCTGGAGTAGAACATGAGTCCGTTATACAGTCTAGTGATTTCTTAGGTGGCCATTTTAACAGCCAATTAAAATTGAACAGTCAAGCAAGGACCAATGGATCATTGGTTTGTGAACCTTAAAGGGTTTTAAACGGAAGGCAAGTTTCTGACGACTTGTAAAGAATCGTCAATAGCGAATCAATATCTACGTGTTCCCAGTGATTTAGAGCCATTAAGTGGCTTCACATTGCTATTCACACTGCTCAGTGCTTTCTCTTGTAGTTCATTAAATGTTTTTTACCTCTATTTAGCTCCAGTTTGAAAGCTACCTAGAGAAGCTGGCTCTAGGTTCCCTTAAGATGGACGTTAGCGAATACAGACAACTGAGGGAGGCACACACTCAAGACTGGATAATTGATGAACTGCAGAACAGAAGCATTACAAAGGGGCTTACTTCCTACAATCTAAGAACCCTCAGAGAGGCTCTTTCCGCAAATCAAACTATTGCCAATCGAACACACCACGAATGGCAGCCTGCTGAGGTAAATAGCATTTTCACTTAATTATATAATTCTTCGGAAATGAAACTTGTAATGGCAGTTTTATGAACCCATAAACCGGCACCTTGCATTTAGGAGCTCTAGTTCAAGATCTTTAATCAATAATATTTCCTTACTGTGCCCTAAGAATTGTTTAAATAGATGAATTGCCTGCTTTTTCCCACTTACATACGAATGACGCAATTAGGCTTTGATCTAGATTTTGACTGACACATCCGACTGTACTGAAGGAAAAAATTATCGCTCCGGTGAGCAAATTCTCGACTCTCAATGGAATATTTTACAAGAGGAAATGTGGGTAGCTATTGAAAATCATCACTCTCAAGGGAACATTCTCAACGCAAAATGTATTTTTTTACCACTTTATCTTTATTAGGTTCGTTATCGAGGTCCTCTCATATTCCTTAAATGCCAGGAAAGTACCTATTCACCTATTAGTGCCATATCACACCGTGTTGCGGACATTTGGGGAGACTTGGTTGATGGAGGCACAACCCACCTTGTTTGTCCTGGTGATCATTTCTCCTTAAGTGAGCTACCTCAAGCCAAAGTAACAGGCGGTATCCTTGCAACAGCCCTTGCATTTACCTTCCGCATGTTATTCCCAGAATTCCCCACTCCACCGAGAATGTTTAATCAAAGACGTGCTGTAGGAAAACTTTCTAGAGGTGTAAACGTGTTCCTTCATTCAAAGAGAGGTAATATGTTTTCTTTAACAACAAAAATTAGGAAGAAGTTGATTGAATTTCATTTTATTGGGAGACAGGACTTTTATAGTGGAGCAAAACCTCTTCCATAAGGGAATTTTTTAGTTGAGTGCAAGAATTAATCCAGGGTCCAACCCTTTTGTTTCACTATCCACTGTGAGTTCTCTGAAAGTAGAAAGTTTGAATCACACTCTCAACCAATCAGTTGCAAAGTGCACCAAATTCAAATGTTTCTTACAGTTTCCAGCGTATGAGGTCGTCATTAGGTGTCTATCCAAATTTTTTAGGTTCATTATATTTTAATTTTTGTTTTTGTTTTTGCCTTTGGTGACTGTTTTGATTTGTCTCACAACTTTCAATCTAGAGGTACTCTTTGCAAAGATTTTGAGTGCTAACACACATTTTACGCGCATTTCAACCTAGACAGCCAAGAATTATATTTTTCTTACTTTAACTAATCTAAACGCTTTAAAATGATATACTTATACTGAAATCTAGCCTCTGGCCCCTAGCCCTGCTGGTGTCCCAAAGAAGATAAAAGTATTTTTGTTTGAACCTAATGCCCCATAACTTTATTTCAATTTAGGAAACAAAATGCCACATTACGGTGAACTTTTTTTTCATGAAGATGTTTGTAAACTTGAATTGAGATCAACTTCTGACGAAGGAGAAGCAAATGAGACCAAGAAAGTAAAAAAGAACATAGACCTGAGAGGTAACTTAACTGTTCATAATTTTTTCAGATCATTATCAGTATCTGGGCAACTGCCCACCTTCCCCTCCCTTAACCCAACATTAACCTTCACTTGTTGTCAATTGACTGTTGTTGAGTTAGGGGAGGGGTAGGTGGGCAGTTGCCCAGATACTGATATTGATCCATTTTTTCTTTCTGTATTTCTATTTATGTATCATTATAAAAGCCTATGTGGAAGATGAATTACCTTAGTTCGATCCTCTCGCCAGCTTAGCTGTGTGCTAAGAAGACCCACATTTTAATACTCCTGACGTTTATCCTTGCAGTTTTTGTTTCAACTGTAGTATGCATCTGCACGTTCAAAACAATATTGCCTACACATCTAATGTACCTTTTACAGGACAAAAATATTATTCGCGACATGATATATCTTTACCATTTCTTTAAACTCATTATCATTATAGTTACACCTGGAATTATTCTTTTCAGAACTTCGCATGGTACAGCCTGGAAGGCTGATCTCTAATGCCTTGAAGTATGCCTGGCGCAAGCGAAGAATTCAAGGTTATGAGAGTGGTAACCTGGGACATGTTGCCTCTGTCGTGACCAGACACCGAGTTTACAACTTGGAATTTTGTGTTTATTCTGATTTGAAGGCATTTTATGACATGGTAGAAGCTGTATTTGCTGTAAAATTGTTAACCGTTTAAAACAGTAGTCACATTGATATTCATTAGTAAAGCACATAATTTTATGTTTTGGGTAATTTGACAAATCAAGTTCTATCACATCTTAAAATTTTGTAGAAGAGGTGAAATGGCCTTCGGTATTTTATGTCCTGCTTCCTCTTGAAAACTTAGGTTTAAAACAACATTTGATGGAAAGTTAATCAAATCATTTCATGTAAAGTAATCTCTTCTAGAGTTTACCATGTTAGCTAACTTGGAATTGATTGCGTCTCACCATATAGTATATTTACTGCGTCTAGCACGAGAGAGCAAACCTTTTGGGATTTGATATTCAGTATTGTTGCTGTTTGGGGTCCAACAAAACAATAGGATTGACTCTGAATATAACTTTAATCAAAGCACGCCTCCTGCAACAGTATGGCCGATTCACTCTCATTTCGCTTAAATAATGTAGGTCCTTAAGGCGTACATAGAACATTACAGTATTGTAGAAAATTTACGAGATGTTTCTTTCTCAAATTTTCTACTGTACTTTAGTAACCTCCTCCGAGCTGCAAGTTCGAGGTTAGCTACGATAGCAAGCTAGGAAACTAAAGAGCTCTCAAAAACTCGGCAAACGCACCTATTGTAATCTGGTATTCTAGGTTAAGGGGTTTCAGACTTCAGGTGGTAAATTTCCACTCAGTAATTCATAGAGTACAAGTACAATCCACAGATACTGTTTGAGATCATGCTTTTCGTTTACACTGGGTTGATCTTGTTTACTAGCATCAGTTTCATTTATTATATAGTTTTTGAAGCATAAATGAGCTTATACAAATCTCAAAATATATTTTAGTGGTATTGGAGATATAAGCTTGCTCTTTAATTGCCTTTTTGTAGAATAAATATATTATTGTCACTACAAAAGTCATTGTCAACCTGGCGTCATCCATGAAGAGAAATGGTGTTTTTGTGCTCAGTTTTATTTCCTGAAATACCGTATTTCCGTCTAGGCTCGAATTAGCCATCCTCCAAATGAACGCCCACTCTCTGAGCCAAAATGTCAAATAAGCGCTCCACTCCCTTACTTCCTTAAAATTGTAGGAATGCCATAAAAACCTGTTTCTATTGCCGATTATTTATACCTTTTTAACTTTCAAATACAGGGGAACTAGTACAGGAGAATACACAAGTTTATTTTCCGCTTCCATTCTTTCTTTCCCCATGCGCTTGCAAAGTTCTTTCATGCGCGTTATCTGCTCTTTTAATGTTTGTCCTGTTTCTGCGCTCTTGGTAAATGCTGTTAGCTTCCCAGGCCCAACTAGACCATTCTCTAGCCTTCGGGGACCATTAATTTCTACGATGATAAAGTTATTGGGATGCTTTTAAAGAAAACAGTTGATAAAGAAAGATAGCTCAATCGGAATGGGCCCAACAAGTGCCATGCACATCCCTTTTTCAAGTTCCAATTGCATTGTCGTTATATTTCTTGGCTTATTCCGTCTTCTTTTATGCAAACAAACCTTTCCCCCATGTTTTAACAAAGGAAAGATATTTAAAATATTGACTTTACGTCCACGTTGGTAATGCTGTAGTTTTTTGTTTTTCGGCTATAAACAGCTACAAGTAGACAATAACTTCCCTTTACAAAAGCTTAGATCACAATTCAGTAAAGTGGATTAAACAGAAACAAATGCATAGCAACGCAGTATCGGCAAGATTTCTTTTTTACCGCATACTTCATCACTAAAACAGCTGTGAGATATGGAACAAAATTGCAAAAGCATTACATTGTACGCCTTTTAATTCCTAACGTCTTCGCGGTCGTCCGATTATGTCAATCATTTGCACAGTCAAATAAAGGCCACGTCTATTCAGCAGTCTGTCTTTATTATGGTTATGGCAATATTTACTACAAAAACATTTCTACTGATCCCTCCTCCAAGCTTCTGTAAATGCTGCAAATATAAACACAAAAATGATTTTGATTAACACAATGGCGGCTATTTAAAGAGGAAAGGATTGAAGTTTGTCCGTATAACCCAAGGAAATCTTTAACATTCCTAAGCACTCTCGTTTTGCTTAGATTCTTGTGTTTTTTTAATGGTTTTCAATTCTAACTTTGCAAGGCATCATTTATGGTGTATTTTTCCATAATGATCCGTTTCCTTACCTTCTTTCGGCCGGCATTCCTTCACCTGAAAACAATCAAATAATAATTTAGTAACCTTAATTTGACCAACCACTTGTGGATAACAAAACTTAAAAAAGGCATTATCAATTGTCTCAACCGAACTCTTTATTCAAGTTGTTAATTATTATTCAAGTTTGGATGAAAAAAAAGATGATGGATACGAATTTTACTTTCCAAAATTGGCTGAAAATAATGGAGAGATAAATATATGCACTGTACCCCAGGAACCACAGAGAACCCAACTATTACACTGGAGTTGGTTTATGTTTTGGTTTGAACAGTGGTGCAAAATTACTATAACAATGATATACATATACATGCAGCTTTAACTGAGCACATTAAACAAATAAGAATAGTAATCCACATTTCTCTGGTATTAAAAAAAAACCAACACATTAAAGACTTACCTGAAGAAAGCATGTGTAGTTATTGCAATTTTCCAAAAGCTTTTACATGCATTCCTACTTCCCACAACATCCTTGCTATGGCCCTAAGATAAAAAGGAACACAATTAAACCAAATATCTATAGGTTCTTTCAGAGCAGTTTTAGACTGTGTCAAAAAACTAAAACTGAAGTAATCAGCACCAATAAGAAAAAAAATACAAGAAGTTAAAACAGGCAAATATGAAGCACAGGCAACCACAATTAGTAAAGTAAGGATTGGTTTTAATTAATTTGCATTCAACTGATTTAGACAATGACGTGCATTTTCTAGACTAATCACAGAGTGAATAA